TTCAGGCGGGTTGGGCACTGAAGGTACGGGAGGGGTATGGCTCGAAGCAAAGGGTCCTTTGCCGAGCTGTTGCAATCAAACTGGCGGCTTTCCTCGACGTGTGATGTAGGATGCCCTTGAACCAAAAGTGCGCCTTCAAAGAACCTGCGCTACACTCAAGCACCCCAAGCCTCTGAGTCTTCCTCCTGCCAAGAAGCACCGCTTTGCTGTGCTAAGGGAAACGTGCGTAGCACACCTTCCAGTAGTGCCAATTCCGTGCTTTGCCATTACCAGCAGAACAAAGAAGTGTCCAGGCCCAGGCATTTCCGGAATTTCAACGCAGCAACTGTATCTCTATTTCGGCAGCACCAAAGCAACTGGGAACGGGGATGCCAATTTTAGGGAAAACACATATCGCAGTTGAAACATGGATGTCTTGCTGTCAAACTGTTATGCAACGCAGGGCAACAGCCATAAGGCCTTTCAAGCATGTCATACGGCCAAGCAAGTGAGGTTGCCTCTTCTAACCGAATGATAACATGCAGTACGCGATGCTTACTACCAATGCATGTGCATGTCACCGGCAAAGGACGGCACAAGCCGCGATACACACATGCAGGCTGGGCAAGACTTGCAACAACAGCAGCTCTGCCCTGTTCAATCCTCGGTGGGTTTCTCCTCGCTGAGTGATGGCGGAAACGAGTCCTCGCATAGCAATGACGAGTCAAAAAGAAATAGGCAACAACGCCAATCAAGCACTTCAGCTTGCTCCTAACTAGTGGCTTGGATTTGTGGATTGCAGGCTAGGGGGGGCACTTTGGAATTAGTGCAAACACAACCAACCCTGAAACCCCTGAGCCACCAAAGACTGCCAAACAGGCCGGCCTGGAACACCGCAAATCCAACAGTATGCAACATGGTCCAAGTCTCTCCCACTTTCCGCCACTGGCAAACATGTTCACACAGCAATGAATGGGATTGGCTTTCGCAGAATCATGGGTTTATGTTTCAGTGTGCGTGCAGCCCTTGATTGTGTTGGTGGCGTGGATTTGCGTCGCCTGTGCCAGTGCCCGTGTCTATGCGGGGATGTATCAAAACTAGAACTCGACCTACTTCAATCAACCCTGTATCTTTGTGAGCGCGTGTATGCGAGTGGGTGCGAGCCCGCACTCAACGTGGGCACGTGTTTGTTTGTGGGCGCGTGGGGGCGCTGAGCTGCAGGCGTGGTGCTCCGACCATCCGCCCGTCCCTGTGAGAGTGCTTGCGCGCGCGCCACAAAGTACGTATGCGTGCGTGCATGCATGCGTGTGCGTGTGTGTGTGTGTGTGGAACTATAATGTGAGTCTGCTTCTTTGCTGCTGTAATGGCAGTACTTTAATTGGCTATTTGCTTGCTGGATTTTTGTTCGCTTGTTTCAGGGTCTATATGTTTCTGTGTTTCTTTGCGCTTTTCCTGTGTGTGTATGTGTCGTGCTACACATCTGTGTTGTGTGTGTGTGCCTGCATCAGTGTGCCGGTACTGATGACAACACTAGGGAGTAATCAGAGAAAGGCAGCTGCTGTTCTTGTTGGCGATGAACGTGACAGGCACTTTTGCTCTGTGTCCTCCTCCGGCACTTGCTGCTGCCACTTTGCCTGCCTTGGTCACGCGAGAGGTCGTCAATTTTTGCTGCGAGCTCCTTGAAAAGTCATGCTTCACCATCCATGAGAAAAATGATGAAACCATGACCACCCTATCTTGACGCACCAGAAAGGCTATCATTTGTCCGAAAGAAAATAGAAAAGACAAATCAAAATCACCGGCCTGTGGGGCAATGCTGTCATCCTTGAGTGCTGGTCTCCTGCTTGTGGGGTTGCCAAGGAAAGATTTGGTTCAGACAGCCAATGTTTCCCTTTAGACGATAGATGTCACGGCCGTGTTTCGACTGGGCTGCAGGCAGATCCTGGGCCTCCACCTCCAGGCAAAGAAGTCGAGCCTGCAGCCAAGAGCTCGGCTTGGGGGTTGTAAGGTCAATAACGATTCCAGGTGCTAAGGGGTTCTGGGTAAAACAAATCCACCCCCGTTCGGTCCTTTTATGGAAAATCAATATGCTATTGGGGATGACATCTATGTCATGGGCTCCTAGTCGGCTGCCCAGCCCTTTGGGACACCTGGGCCATTCTCTTGGGACCATTTCCTCGTGGCGTATCCCTATCCCGACGCGGTGGGTTCCGGATCCTCCCGCCTGGCGCAGCTTTTCGAGCTGTTCTCCGTCAGCAGTAATGGCCTGGTAAACACGAGAAATGGTGCATCCTGAATTGGGTCCAGTGTTGGAAGATTTTGAGGGAAACCGAAGAGAACACATACCGACAGGGGTCCGCATGGAAAACACCCTGCATGCTCCGAGTACGACAGTTTGCCATCGGCTGAGATCCGGGGTCAAAGGAATCTTCATGGAAGCTCTCGGTTTACCACGGGGCACATTCGCCAATGGCTGGCACAACCATGTTCAAAGAGATTCCCAAACCGCTTTCCACAAATGAGCATGCACAACTGGCTCCTCGGGGGAAGTGTACATGTTCCAGCTAGCAGACGGGCCAATTTGTTGGACCATTTCGGGCGTCCCATCATTGAAATGTAAACTGCCAACAATGTGACAAAATATGTCCATCATGCCCACCCCCGTCAACCACCGCGTCTAAATTACATCACCCCCTCAATGGATGTGGGGATGTGAACAGTGGGGGTGGATCTACACGTCGACTATCAAACTAGTGGCAATGCCATGGACATGGGCAACATGATTCTTGTATGAACATTTCGAGATCTGGTCGGACCTTTCTTGGTTGGTGTTTGCGACCTCCTTTAGGATGCATTGAGAAGCGCCTTGCATTGACGGCTAAAATGGTCACGGAGCTTGCTCCTTCCATTCACATCCAAATGACACCAGGGAGAAGCGGCCAAAGGCGGCAAGAGGCCTCCAGCTGCTTCCGCAGCTCAGCGCTCCTCAAAAATGGCTCGTCAAACCGAGTGGACTCCTTCTGAAAGGAATGATAATTGCATGCACGCAGTTGGATTTGGAGGCGCGCAACTTGTTTTGGCACATTCCCAAAAGGATGGCAGCTTTGGGCAAGCGTGGAGCCTCTGGGATAATAGATCTTTGGGCCAGACCAAGGTAGGGAGCCAGAGATCTGGTCAGGGCAAATTTTACTCAGTAACTAACTCTTTGAAGTATGTCGTTTGCTGGTTGGCACAGTAGTTGGGCTTGCTGATCACTTCAAGCATCAATTATCTGTCAAGTCATGCGATCCATGATTAAGCGGCATCCAGCGGCTTTTCCAAGTCAGTCACGTCCAGCTACAAGTTCATGTCACAAAGTCTGTGCGGGTCACAATGCTCCCACGGTGTTGTTCCTCGAGATTCCTGTTGTGTAGAGTCCGGCTCCGGCCGAATGATAGCAGCCACCAGGTTGGAATAGGGATCGAATATGGCATGGCGACTCGTCTCTTTTCCTGAACCATGAAGCATTGAAGTGTCCCTGGCCTCTTTTTCCCACAAATTACAGTATTTGCCAGTTGTCTCGCTGGATGCCAGCGCTCGCTGTCAGCAGGAAAACCAAACGTGATTGAAGCGAAGGCTTCACCAGCAAACGTAGAAGAATTCCTGCGGAAATGCCGCGACGCCCCCTCAAACGACTCAAACCCGTCTTTGAGGTGCCCCTATTATGTTCCCCAAAAAGGAGTAATAAGGCGATCCCACGATTTCGGCGCCTGCTGGCCAGCTGCAATTCATTGCTCTCCTGCGAGCGAAAGCGAGCCAATCCAATCACTTGGTTCAAAGGGCATCCGGTATCCATGTTGTCCATAGATGGCCCTCGTAAAGTAGGTCGAGCCAGGGGATCGACAAAAAGCCATACAAGCCGGCTGATCTTTCGCTGGAATGTTTCGGAACCACAGTTGGTAATTAGTTCTTTCCATCTCAATATGCCATTGTGCCCTTGCCCATTGCCTGTTGAGCCGCCAGGAATGCGGAAGGACAAAACCAGACTCTGCCTGGTATCAACCAACACTAAGCTCATTGAAACTAGCGTGGAGCTCCAGCACACACGTGGGGGAATAGCTGTTTGAAAGACCTGCTTGCCTAGAGGGTCTTATTGGTTTCCAGGGTCGAGTTGTTTGCTTACTTCTGCCATTCATCTGTGAATCAGGTTGCAATCTTGTCTGTTTCAGTGTCTCACTGTCTCACTCTGTCTGTCTGTCTGTCTGTCCGTCCGTCCGTCCGTCCGTCTGTCTGTCTGTCTCTGTCTGTCTGAACGACATGTATTGGCTGTGGTGGCTGCGCCGCCCCAGCCTATTTTGCATGGATGGCAACATCTGTTGCACATTCCTGCACGGTCGAAATTCCTTTCGAGGTAATACGGAAAAGAGTCGCGCCTTTGGGAACGCCTCTGAGGTTTGACATGCAGCGGTATTGCCACCCTGGAAAAGGGTCCATGACTCATGCTGCCTTTAGTCAGAGCCTCCAACCTCACATCCAACATCTGGCAATCTAAAAACAACTGGCAGCCTAAGAGGAAGATGACTGCATTAGACTGCATCCTTCATTCCAAGCAGAAAGCGAGCCTTGTCTTTGCAACATCCTTCTCCCAATTTAGAAAGGAGCTGCTCCGTAGGCTTGTGACACCACAGGTTGGTTCAAGAAGGGTTGCCTGTGTGCGCATTGTTTGGGCGTCTGTGTGATGCATGCCAGTTAGCTTTGAACTAAGATCAAATTCGGACTTGGGCTTGACTTGTTGGGTCAAAGGCCAGTTTGGGGTCAGCTTCAGCTCGAGCTCCCGTGAGGGATGGTGTTTCTCAAAAGTATTGACCCCGGTTTTAGCGGAACCACATTGGAGGGATCCCTACTTTAATTTTGAGAAACGCCTGCAGTAAATGGACTTCGGGTCACCCGCTCCCCCGGTGTTTAAACAGCGAGATGGTTCGAGTCCACCGAGTCCGGCAAGACAGTCCTCGAAGCCCGGATCACCGTGAAGCGATGCTGGCGCCTGAGCCGACCAGTAAACGTGCTTACGGGTTGGTCTCCAAACGGAAAACACCCGAAAACGGCTGGTTGCCTTATTAGCTGAGAATCAACCAAAGCACGCCAAAATGGTACATGAAGGCATTCACCAAAACCCTCAAGAACAGAAATAAACCCAGTCACAAAAACATCTTTTAGCGATACCAAAAACAAGTCGCCCTTACGTATCTATCAGCTTCAGAGGTTTGAACGCTTCGAGGATTGTGCGGAGGAAAAGAGAAGATTAAGCCCAAAGGTCATGGCAGTTGGTCAGGGTTGTCCTCGTGACTCACCCCGTTCGAGTCCCGAAAGGGGCCTCTGAGAAAATCATCAAAACGACGTTCAACAGCAAAACCTCTACACCAGCTAGCAATTCAATCATGTTCGATATTGATTAGTTGTTCTGTTTCAAGTACCCCTTGCCATTGGCACATGAAGCGGGCCTCAAGTACTTTCGCTGCCCGCCCAGCCTCCGCCTCAGCTTCTCCGCCGTATTGCACTGGCATCTCCTGGCCAGCAAAATTCCTGGGTCACAGACAAGAAAAAAAAACGGAGGGCCATGCGCACATTCATTGACCGACAGGAGTAAAGTGCTCGCACGATTGTCTGCAATAGCAATAACTGGGACCAACTGCGCCTGAAATCACATTCATGCAAATTGATGAACCCTCACACACACAAATAGATAGATAGATAGATAGATAGATAGATAGATAGATAGACAGACAGACAGACAGACAGACAGACAGACAGACAGACAGACAGACAGACAGACAGACAGACAGACAGACAGACAGACAGACAGACAGACAGACAGACAGACAGACAGACAGACAGACAGACAGAGACAGACAGACAGACAGACAGACAGACAGACAGACAGACAGACAGACAGACAGACAGACAGACAGACAGACACAGACAGACAGACAGACAGACAGACAGACAGACAGACAGACAGACAGACAGACAGACAGACAGACAGACAGACAGACAGACAGACAGACAGACAGACAATTAGATAGATAGATAGATAGATAGATAGATTAGATTAGATAGATAGATAGATAGATAGATAGATAGATAGACAAACAGATGGATGAATGGATGGATGGATGAATAGATAAATAGAAATAACGATGGATAGATAGATAGATGGATGGATGGATGGAAAGATTAGATAGATAGATAGATAGATAGATAGATAGATAGATAAATCGAAAGAAAGATGGATAGATAGATAGATGGATGGATGGATGGATGGAAAGATTAGATAGATAGATAGACAGACAGACAGACAGACAGATAGAAAGATAGACAGACAGACAGATAGACAGACAGACACATGGATGGAGGGATGGATGGATGGATGGATGGACGGATGGATGGATGGATGGATGGATGGATGGATAGATAAATAGAAAGAAAGATGGATAGATAGATAGATGGATGGATGGATGGAAACATTGGATAGATTAGATAGATTAGATAGATAGATAGATAGATAGATAGATAGATAGATAGATAGATAGATAGATAAAAAGAAAAATAGAAACATAAGTAGATAGACAGACAGATAGATAGATAGAACGATAGACAGATAGATAGACAAACAGACAGACAGATGGATGGATGGATGGATGGATGGATAGATTAGATAGATAGATAGATAGATAGATAGATAGATAGATAGATAGATAGATAGATAGATAGATAGATAGATAGATAGATAGATAAATAGATGGATAGATAGATAGATATATAGATAGATAGATGGATAGATAGATAGATAGAACGATAGATATATAGATAGATCGATCGATCGATCGATCGATCGATAGATAGATAGATTAGATAGATAGCTAGATAGATAAGATAAATAAGATAGATAGATAGATAGATAGATAGATAGATAGATAGATAGATAGATAGATAGATAGATCGATAGGATAGATAGATAGATAGATAGATAGATAGATAGATAGATAGATAGATAGATAGATAGATAGATAGAGAGATAGATTAGGTAGATAAATAGATAGATAGATAAGATAGATAGATAGATAGATAGATAGATAGACAGACAGACAGACAGACAGACAGACAGACAGACAAATAGGTAGATAGATGGATAGATAGATAGCTGAATGGGTAGATACATTAGTTTGGTTTAGTTTAGTTTGGTTTAGTTTAGTTTAGATAGATTAGATTAGATTTATAGATAGACAGACAGACAGACAGACAGACAGATAGGTAGATGGATGGATGGATGGATGGACAGACAAACAGACAGACAGATAGACAGATAGACAAATATTGCTTCACAAACTGTGAATGGGAAAAATGGCAGGTGGTCCTCCAATGGCGTTGTGGGGATTTGCTCCTCAGCGAGGGAAGCTCATGGTGCCAAGCAGCAGCGTGTATATCTGCTCAAGCAAAGGACCAAACAGGTTTTTTGGTACGTGCACATTAGACAAGAGAGGCGTAGGCAAAGTCGTTTCAAGCTGACTTTCTCGCGTTGGCGGCCGGCAGGGGGGTATAGTATCTTGGCCTTGTACAGAAGCCAGAAAAGCTACAAGCCTCAACCCTTGTGACAAACGATCACGCCATTCCCAAAGCTTGGCAATGTCAACAATAGTAACCCATCACTCATATAAGGGTCACTAACAGTGACAAGGTACGGCAATAATGCCGATGTCTTTGATTCAAGAGTCATTGACAAACCTCTTCACCCGGTCAGACCCCGCAAAAGAAGCCGACTGTTCTCCTGGATGCAGCGGTTCTCTTGCAATCGCGACTGCGCCTGCAACCATGCACAAGCTGCGAGACGAAAGCCATGTTTAATTGCTCCGGACATTTCTGAATCTGCAGATCATGAGGCAAACAAGGCGATGAATGGCTGAATGGCTGAAGCTCGAATCTTGCCGATTCTGTTCAGTCTATTGTGAGAACGCACGCATTGACAAGGGCTTAAATCCGACGACTGTTCTTCAGTCTCCTAAACCTAGCCGTTTGCAATGTGTTTCCCATGCTTGAGATGTAATTTCACTATTTTTGCGACGGGTATGTTGTTTTTAGCTGCACAGTGGCCAAGTATCCGTGGCCCCAAGGGTCCCCCCCCCGCCCCCGGTTTCCCTTGGCCTCTTTCCCAGGGTACTCAAAATGGAAGGTAGGCCAATCGTAATCCATCCTGATTGGGGAAGCAGCACGCATGTACGTGTATATATATATACACTTATTTATTGGTGTACATATATATATACACACTAAACATGTTTGACCTTGCAAGTCGGCTTGCACATACTTGTGCAGACTTGTGCTATGCTTGATTTCAGGCCAAGATGACGCCGAGGAACGCCTGCGCGCTGGTTGAACAGTGCTCAATGGTCTCTTGCTTGGGATGGCAGGCTTAGGATGTTTTGCGGTTTCTGAGTAAACACCTAATGGCCAGCCCGATTTTCAAGAGCAGTACAGTGGATCAGACAGCAGCTAACCTTTTGGACTCTGAGACTCCAAAAGGGTTTAATATCAGCATTTACTTATTATCTTGAAATATTTGAATACTGAGCGTGCCTTCAAATGGTCGAAGCCCATTAAATGGATTGTTGCCATTGAACCAACCCCCAGCAAAGGGTACCCTCAAGATGGCACCATATACTAATAAAAGTTTTATAATATAAAGAGAGAGAGAGAGAGAGAAAGAGCGCGAAAGAGACAGAGAGACAGAGAGAGGTCCTGACTCTTTTGGACCAGTTTGGGCCGTTCGGTGTACTCCCAGGGTGTAACCCAACTAACATGGAAACTCACTGCATACGTCCAGACTTAGTTAATTTTCCTCAGGCACCCTTTGACGGGTTCCATGTTTCGGCTTCGCTGTATTTGGTGGTTTGGATTGGTGGTATGGGGGTTCAGTTTTCCATGTGCTCTCTAGATCCCGGGGTTCAAATCCAAAATTGTAGCCACCAATCCAAACCACCAACCTGAACTGCGGCAGCGGGTTGCCTGAACGTTAGTGGGTGCAACGGACCAACCGAAACGACCCGTAAACCTGGTTCTCCGCTTGCCTCGGAGGCGGCCAGCTGCGCGCTGCGCTTCTCTGCCTCCAGGCGGGAGACGTCCTGCCGGAAAAGGACAAATAAATATATACATATACAATGTATATACAAATGTATATACAAATGTATATACAAATGTATATACAGATGTATGTTATATATATATATATACATATTCATATTCTGATAATATATATATGGTGTATGGTGGTAGTTCTGAATTCCCGTGTCTCGAAACGGCCATTCTTCGCGAAAACGAGTAAGTTACTTTCGCGAATCTTTCGCGGATCTATCAACGGGCACTGTTCATTGCCAAGGCCGGAAAGTCGCAGCTTCTAAGTACCAGCGTAGTACATACGGTTTTGTGTTCTCTTTTCTTTCTGTTTAACCTCTTTGGCTCAGTTTTCAAGGGAAGCCGAAAGGAAACCAACAATTTGTGGGGTCCATTGCCTGCAAGGATTGCTGTTCATTCTGAAGGTAAGTATAACGAAAGCAACTGTGGAAAGAGGCCCCCTTCTTTTCCCATGTAATGATTCCTGTCCACGTCCGTTTTTGTTGGACAAAGGTTAAGTAGAACTAGCAAATTGGATATTCCCACTACAAGGAAGTACAGGCATTCATGAAACAACCAACTCGGCAAAGGCAAACAATTACTTTGTAAGAATGTCAACGGACAAAACAAAGAAGGTTTAAACAAGCACAACTCCAGTGAACCATGAGTTTAAACCCGTGGAAACAAGTGAATTGGGTCGAGGATAGGTCAAGCAGATGAAACATGACAATATGTTTACCAAAGCCCTGTTCCTGTCAATCATCATTGAGCCACCTTCGAACACCTGAAGCCCGCTGGGATGGGGGTTAAAACTAGTTGCACATGCAAAGGGAAGCCCAAGGAAGCCGTTTGGTTTTTCAGGGGTCTGTTTGTCTGT